CACGCCCAGCAGCGCAAAAAATGGGCAAGATAAATTCGAGGTGATGACTCATGGCAGGTAAGAAATTAGAGTTTAGTGGGTCTTCGCAAAAGTGAAGAGAAAGAAAACGAGAGAGAGAGAGAGAGGGAGAGAGAGAGAGAGAGAGAGACATAGAGAAAATATTATGAATAAAATGCAACAAAAATAAGAATGACTATTTCGTGCCCCCGATCGGCCTGTCAGTTCAAATTTGCGCTGACTCAGGTTGAACGGGCGTGCGGGAGTTTTTTAGCGATTTTGAAATTCCTGGAGTGAGAGAGAGATAGAGAGAGAGAGAAAACGTACGAGAGAGCGACGGAAACATTGATATAAAAATCGTGCAGAATTTGTTGGATCCGCAAAAAAATGCTTAAATATACACCCCTTCCGTTCTGTACAAAATACGAACGGACGTTTTTTGCGGGCACCCGTTTTCAAAGGGGCAGACTATACACGTCTTCGTCCAAATTTCATGAGTATCCGCATGGGCGGACTGGCTAGGAACAGGGAGCTCCGAGAAACAGATGTATTCACCGGAAGAAAGAGATTGGCGAAAGAGGGCAGACTAGCAGAGATCATTGAGGAACAGAAAGCGACATGGGGTAAGCTAGCAGAAAGCCTTGGAAGAACGTAAAATAGTGAAAGGCCAGGGGCAGGCTAACAGAGTATCTTTAGGAAGTCCCGGAGACCAGGGCAAGCTGGCAGAGGTCTTTGGGGGGAATTCGTCAGGTTGCATCTATGGCTAATTTGAGACATTTAGCAGATGCCTGAATTTGAAGGCCATTAGGACGTTGGAAGTAGGCTTAGGCTTAGACTTAGACTCATCGTTAGGCTTAGGTTTAGGCTTTGGCTTAGGAAAAAACAATCGAATAACAGAAAACAGCGCCGTCCCCGTGCTATGGACAGGAAACGAAGCCCAACACGACTCGCGGGTGGGCGGAAATTTGGGTCCTTACTTGGTCCCCAGGGCCCAATTTGGATCAGGGCCAAGCTGGGGAAGACCAGGCGGACACTAATCGCCTTGCCAATATGAAGCTGCTGACCAAAATTCGATAAAAGGTCTTGAAAAGACAGAGCCATTTGCAAGCATAAGCTCAAGCTTGCTCTTGGAGCAGAGGTTGAAGTCTCAAATTACAATACAACCCCCTCAGGGCCAGGGGTGGGTTGCAACTGGCCAAAAATTTCTGCTAGCTTCCTGGTGATCTTTGGATTGCCTGGCTTAGGACCAGTTTGGGTTAGGCTTAGGCTTAGGCTTCGCTTCGGCTTTGCTTGAGCTTCGCTGAGGTGGTCTCGGGCTTAAGCTTGGGCTTCGCTTAGGCGTGGGCTTAGGCTTGGATATCCCAGACGTAACGCCGACAAGAGTAACCATCTTTGTGCCCCGCTGTCGCCAAAATTGAGAAATGGGTGGTTTCGGTGCGTGTTGTGCGGCTGAATATTTTGGTGGCTACTTGGGGGCTCGCGCTGACATGCGATCGAAATTTGCATACGGAATGGGCGAGTGGGGGGGGGGCAGACACGATACGTGGGGCGCGGGGGCCAACCGGATGTGGGCCACACGGTGGATCCTAGGGGACCAGGTGGCAGCTATCGCACTTGCTGGTTCTAAATCTAAATGAATGCAAATTGCAATAATGTATGCAAAATAGCTTCAATTAATTTTTTGCAAACCACATATAAATTTTTCAAATGCTCAAATTCTAAAAATTTGAAAAAATCTTGTTCAGGTACATAAGTTCAAATTCGAGAACTTCTTTGTCCCTTTAAAACACCGAAAATAAGCTGGCAAAATGAAAATTTATGCTGATTGCAGCATAAAAATGAAATTTAATAGATCCAAACCAGGCTTCAATATTACCAAATTTGCATAAAATAGCTTAACTTAGTTTTCCTGTTTTGTCATTTTACTACAAAAATAAATAAAATTTACGTGACACACAATGGCTAATCGAAAGCCGCTGGAATTTGCATACCCCGAATTTGGGCCCTAAAATTGGCCCGAACGCGAATAGACCACCGGCACGCCAGGGGCTCTAAAGGGGCCGGTTCCTGCAATTATTTCGTGTCGGGGGGGTAGGGCTACGTTTGGCGCCGTTTTGACGCCCTCCTCCGGAATCTGGGGGCTTTCGCGGCGGGACCACTAATTGGGCTGAAGGGGAGACAAATTAAATGGCACCGCCGTGGCTATTAAAAAAAAGGGGAATTATGGGAAGCAGTGGCGTTGAAAAAACGTAAGAATCCGGAAATAACCAAAAAAAAATTGTAACTCTGTAAGAGTAGCTGAAAAGCAGATTGCGATTCTTAGACGTGGACATAGGTATATGCTTTGGCCTAGGCTGAGGCTTAGGGTTCGGCTTGGTTTAGGTTTAGGCTTAGGCTTAGAGATATCTTTCCGTTTCGGCTTCACCGGCTGTAAAAAACACGAAAATCCCCAAAGAATCTCTGCTAGCGCTAGATTTTAAAGGAAGCCTGCTATTATTTTAATGAAGTGGTTAAAATAGTTATGACCCGAAATTATACATTGGAAAAAGATTTTCTTTGCAGGCACTCTCCCTTTAAACCGACGACAAAAAAACGTGCGGCGGCCAAGAGCAAAGGCAAGCCGTTGAAAGGGCGGCAGCGCCTCTTATTTGTGTACCGTGTTAGGTGGGTGGACCCGTGTTTCAGAAGCGAGAGAGAAAGAGAGAGAGAGAGAGAGAGAGGGAGAGAGAGAGCGAGAGAAAATGCAGAGCAAAAGAGTGCCCACGACTGTGGCCCATCTCGGCAACCCGGCCGCGCGATCAAACACTCACATGCAAACACGAAAATTGGGAGAGAGAGAGAGAGACGGAGGTAGAGAGCGAAATAGAGAGATAGAGAGAGCTACAGACAAATATACTAACCAACAACTATACCGCAAACAAGAAAAAAGACAGACACTTTGTCGGCATTCGGCATTCAGCGTACATTTTTGAAGGTTGGGGAGCTGGCAGAGATCCTTTGAGGGTCGAAATTCGAATTTACGTTGGATGCGCAGTGCAAGCTGGCAGAGATAATTTGAGAGCCGAAATTTACGCTTAAGCTTAGGCTTAGGGGCTTAGGGTGCTTAGGCTTAGGCTTCGGGTTATGCCACTCGCAAGCCAGCAGAAAACATTGCTTCATTTGCCGTTTTCCAGACCCAATTCTTTTTTCAAAATTTTTTCAGTGATCCTCACCCCGCTTTCACCCCTTATCCCCCCTTGAGTGGCGTATTTGGCTGTGCGGGTGGGTGTTTGACCCGTTTCTGGATATCTGGACAGACGGACGAACAGGGCAGACAGACAGACAAGGAGAAAGCAGGCTTTCACCCAATCCCCAGATTCACTCGCCCGGAGGAGCACCACCTTTCACCCCATCGATCCCTGCACTACACTTTCCATCTTGAACTCGGTCGCACATTTTTTTTGGGGTGTTGAAGGCTAAGGCTTGGGCTTGGGCTAAGGCTCAGGCTCAGGCTCAGGCTCAGGCCGGCTAGGTTGGCGGCGTGGCTGGGTGGCTTGGGCTTGGCTAGGTCAGGCTTGGCTGGTTAGGCTTAGGCTCCGGCTCACGCTTAACCTTAGTTTTAGGCTTCAGCTTAGCTTTGGGTTCTTTCATTTATTTTTCGTCATCTCCAATGATCTCTGCTAGCCTACCCTCCACGAATCTCGATATTCACCCCTATTTTTCGGCCCCCACAGATCGTTTTAGCATAACTGGTTGTATGCCGGGGCATAACCGGCTCGAAATGTGCCCTCCCGCCCGGCTCCTCAATCCCGATCAGCCCGTTTTTCCAATCCGCCACCCCTTCCAAGCAGGGCCTTCATATGCAAATTAGGGCCTGCCCCCGGGCTCGATTTGGATTGTAGTCGCTGGTTTCGGGATGCTCCAGTGACCCTGAGGCTGTCTAAGCTCGACTTATTCCTGTTTTGTGGTAGCGGCATTCAGAAAAAGGCCTTTAAAAGGCGGGGCGGGCATCGATCTCGGGTCATAGCTCGTGCTCAAATATGTCAAATAATCTCTGCTAGCCCGCCTTACTTTTCTAAAAGATTTTTGATAGTCAGCCCCTTCTCTTCCTCAAAAATCTCTGCTAGCCTGCCCTATCCTTTTCCTCACGAATCTCTGCCAGTTTGCATTATCGAAGAAAAGTTCAATGCCTCTTAAGCGACATTTAAGAAACGATTTCCCCTTCCTAATCCCGAGCTTAGGGTCTCGTCATAGCCCCAGAGCATACCAGCTACCCTAGCTTAGGCCCTTCGTCTCTCTCCCTCTCTCTCTCTCTCGCTCTCTCTCTCGCTCTCTCTCTCTCTCTCTCTCTCTCTCTCTCTCTCCTTTCTCCAATGCCCTCGGGGCTCTCCCTTCAGCTTTGTGGTCGTGGGTTCAAAATCCGGTTTTTGAGAGTGCCATTCGGGCTGTTGATCCGGTCTGCCAAGAGCACCAGCTACCAACCACATCTACCAACGTCTACTTTCCCCCAAATATCCCGGCGGAACGGAAGAAGAACACGGCGAATACACGTCACGCCTGACTACGAGAGGATACACTACGCTACGCTACGCGACGACGATTGATTTTTGGGATTTCGGATTTTTTAAAGGTGAGTTGTAGGTATAGAAAAATTGGGCCATTAGCAAAGAGTCTGTAAGATGCTTAGGAAAGCATTTCTCAAAATTTCTTGGAGGCACAGGCAGGCTAGCAGAGATCCCTTAAGATTTTTCGAGGATCAAGCAGGCATAACAGTGGTTTTTTGGGAAGCTTTAGAGGCTGGGGGGGCTAGCAGTTCTGAGCATAAAATTTTTTAGTCTGGGCATGCTTGCAGAGATCCTTTAGGAGTCTTTCGAGGCCACATGCAGGCTAGCAGTGACTGTTTAAGATTTGGTCAGGGCAGCAGGGCGACCATTTAGGACTTTAGGCTTCAAGGCAATTTGCAAAATTCATAAAATTTTTAGTTCAAATTTCAGCTCTCGACGCTCATTTCGCCGGGCCGAGAGATGAGAATATTCCCTCTAGCCGCCGTTTTTCTAATTCAAATCTTTGCACAGCAACCAGACGACGGCAATGACCTCTTTATTCTGATCGACGAGGTCAGCGTGTATTCCTGTAGGGGAGGTATGTCTTTTGCATAATTTATGACGTATTCCTGCGGTTTCCAGTCAAAAATGAGATCAAAATCTCTGAAGAGGACATCAACATCGTCAACGACAAGGGCAATAAGGTATCGGGATTTGCTTTAATGCGGAAATAATATTATTTATAAAAAAGTTTCTAGTAATATAACGTGCTTTTTAAGGCTTACTACATCCGGGCGCCCGGCAACTACTCGTTACACTTCAAGAACCTAAAAGTGCAGAAGGATTTCGGGTTCCTGGCCGGGGAGATCGGAGTTACGCTACAAGTTCCGATCATTGAGGGTCCAGCTGGTAAGCTATTAGGCTTGGCTTAGGCCTAGGCTTAGAAATCGGCTTAGGCTTAGGCATAGGCTTACGCTTAGGCTTAGATTGGGCTTAGGCTTGGGCTTAAGTTAACCACCCTTTTCAGGAATGCGCTTCGACCTACCGTACCCCATGATTCCGGAAACGGGCTTGCTGTCCCAGAAATGTGACGCAAATTCGGGAATAGTTGAGCGGAATGGGCGACAATATTGGTGAGATAGCGAGAGAGAGAGAGAAACCGAAATTTTCAGCCGATATTGCGATCTCTGCTCCGTCTCGCAGGCCGTCGAGTCGAAGATCAACGAGGAGCATGTGTTTCTACCGACGGTAGAGGTGGGGCGCATTTTATTTTCGAATTGGTTTCTCAGAATTTTGATGCTAGAAAATGGGGTTTCAGACGAAGAATTTGCATTTTATGTAAATGGGATACTTCGTAGAATTTTAATACTGTAATACTTACACTTTTTTGATGTGCTAGTACTGTAGAATCAAACGTTTTATATCGACCTCTACTAAGCCCCGCCTGGCTTTTCGCAAACGTAACGCGTAATGGCAAGGCAGCCTCCCAGTAGACGTAGGAAGCCGGGTTGTCGTCGATGTCAATGTCGTAGCAGTCGCCGAAATCGTTGAGAAGCTAGAAGCGGAGGCTTGGGATTAGGTTTAGGCTTAGGTTTAGGCTTACTCTTAGGCCTATTCTTAAGCCACACATACCTCCATACTAGCCGTATTGTACTGCTTAATGGCATCCTGACCGATAAAATCAAGCGGTGTCCCATCCGTCCATACTGTATAGTTTTTAATTGCGTTGTGGTATAGTCCCGTATATCTAGTGATGTAATATAAGTCAAATTTTCAAGCTGAAATACATACGCCCACATGTGCGTACAGCCATTCTCATCTTCAACCATGCTGTCGGCAAAGTCTTCCGTTAGATTGGTTTTGATAAGTTCTAAAGCTTGCGTAGGCTCGGGCTTAGGCTTCGGCTTGGCTCAGTTTCCCTAAAAAATGCCCGGCTTACCGTACACGAAAGCCATTTCCGATTGACTATGAATCGAGGCCAAATGCGTCCCCATTTCACGGCATTGGGCCTCGGCTTGCGTGAAATTATACAAATTCCAGTGAGTCCCATTCTCGTCAGTGTAGGTGGTAAAATCCTAAGTAACTTGACGCTAATTATTGGACGTTAGCTTACAGAATATTTGTAGCAACTGTCACCAAAGCCCTTCCATCCATCGTCACATGTTACTTGGACTTTTTCTGCAAAAATTAAATTGGAAACTGAATTAATGTTATATTCCTAACGAATTCCTAAATAATCATGCCGGCTTGTCCTTCCCGCTAAATCTTTCCTGATAAGGTTCTGCACATATTCGAGGTCGCTGAATTTCGCACAACAGTTTGGCTAGACTTCCCTGGCCTCAGTTACTACTAACTAAGCAATCTCTGCCAGCTTGACCTGATCAGGCCTATGGAAAGAATCACTTCTAGGCTTCTATGGCTCCAAGTTTTGCTAGGGAATCTTACTGCCTGCCCTCTAATTCTCCACTCACTTTGCGTGCACGCATATGTCAAATTCCTGAAATCGTCGTCGGTCGCCCAGTAGCCCGAATTCACATCCATGACTCCCTTGTATTGATCGCTGCGAGGTTCGCCTTAATATTAACAACAGTGTGTGCGAAGCTTAGGCACAACTCTGCGAATCTCCGGGTTACAGTATTTTTACAAAGGAAGTGCAAAGTGTTTTCAAAAGGTTTTCAATGCTGGGCCTCTTGATGGTATTGTTTCCGGAAACCCACCATTCATCCACCGTTGATACGTGATATTCTTGCCATTCGCATATCGCCATTGCGTGTTGTAGCGTGCAAGGCCGATATAGGCACGAGAGACGCCGGCTAAAAAAAAGCATAAATTCGGAGCGTGCGGTTCAATTTTGAGTGGTAATTGAGATTTTAGCCTCCCGAAACCCCGAAAAACACCACACCTTTTTGAAAGGCCTGTTGAATTAAGTTATTCAGGAAAATATTGCCGATAATGGCCGGGTATCCTCCCTTCTGCACACAGCTTCTCACCACGTGATCGTAGTCCCAGGCTAAAAACAGCATAGACTCCGGCGGGCTTCTTCTCTGTCTTAGTTATCTGCGCAATCATGTTATGTAATTTTAGGATTGTGCGCAAGAGAAAACAGGAGATATACAGAAAAAAAATTAGGACATTTTGGTCGAGCTTAATTATCAAAATTCGTACCTGAAATGGCTATAGACTAGTAATGAACCACTTTAAATAGAGTCTCGGAAGTAAAACTATTCAAAACTTACCTTCGGACCCGATGTAAATACAATCATCGTTGACCTCCTGCCATCCATCTGGGCAAGTCTGGCAGAGTGCCAAGCCAAGGAACCCCAGGAAAATTAGAGGGGTTCGGCTCAATTTTGCTTCCATTTTTATCCTCAAGCGAGAAAATAGGAATTTCCAAACAAGCTGGAATTCTGAATTTCTGACCAAATTTTTGACGGCTGTTATCTAAAGCTTAATGCGGGCGAGGTGTGCTAGTCTGAAGGGGTGTTAAGCCGGTTCTTTGGACGCTTCGTTGAGCGCTTCAAAAAATGTGTAGATGTTGCGGTTTTAAAGGGACATTCAAGGCATAGGGAGAGCGGCTTATATAGATAGATTTTTTGGCGTCTCGTTACGTAATGATTATCTTGAGGTCTGAAAGGACCATTCAATTCTCGGAGTTTTTCTTCCACCGCTTAGATTGGTGCTTTAAATTACTAGCAAGCCTGAAAACTTTAGTTTAAGCGTTTAAGGGTCTTAGATGCGTTTAAAGGATCATTGAAGGCGAAATCCACAACCAAAACACACCATTTTCCTTTTTACGTTCAAAAACTCAGCAAATTTGGTTTTTAATGGCGATTAATGGCAGGCATAATGTCGTTAATTTACTTTACTTCAAAGGAGTTGATGAATAAGAAAAAGCTGTAAAAACGGGGGTCAAATTTCCATAATTACAAAAATAGCTTTAAGAATCTTTTTGATTCCAGTTTAATATCAAAGTTTTTCCAGGGCGACACCCAAGCGGACGGCCGCTGCGGCTCCGTGCAGGCAGATTCTTATGAATTTAAGGTATACTTTCTCTAACCTAAACTTAGTAAGTATCCAGAAAACCATTTCCCTGCCCGGAAAAGATGCGCTTGAGAGGATGGTGAAGGAAAAGGCGAACGGGCTGGATCGCGAGATTACGAAACGGTTGAATAAGGGGTTAAGTTGAAGAAATTGGGTTTTGGGGCAGGCTAGCAGAGATTCTTTGCGGAAGATACAATTTTTATTTTCAGCAAGGCCGTTTCCAAGTGTTCCTGAATCTGATCGCCGCTTCGAAGCCGTCGATGTCGCAACGAATGTACTTTGAAGGGAGCCAGGAGGTATGTCGGCTTAGGCATAGGCATAAGCTTAGGCTTAGGATTAGACTTAGGCTTTTAGACTTAGGCTTAGGCCTACCTTTACGACATAGCTTACCTCTTTCAGTGCAAATCCTGCAGCCCGGCTTCTGACTACCGGTCCTCTTATCTCTACTGCAATATGGAGGATTGTAAGGTATGTTTTTTGCTTTTACTCTCTCTATTGTGAATTTTTAGAGCTCCTGGGCGCACCAATGTCTCCATAACACTGCCCGTATTGCCGCCTGCTTCACTGTTGAATTTAATTATAGGTGAGTCTGCAAAAATGGCTATTTTCAGGCCGTTGGAGCAATAAAATAGCCACAAAATTTAAGGATGACTAGCAGCTACGCAGAAGTCTTGGAATTTTTGCGCGAAAACAACTACCCGAACCAAGAGGTTGACTACGGGAAACCGTAAGTGTTTCTGTTAGCCTGCCCTCTCCTCGTCCTCAACAATCTCTGCTAGCCTGCCCTCTCCTCTTCCTCAACAATCTCTGCTAGCCTGCCCTCTCCTCTTCCTCAACAATCTCTGCTAGCTTGCCCTCTCCTCTTGCTCAACAATCTCTGCTAGCCTGCCCTCTCCTCGTCCTCAACACTCTTTGCTAGTCTACTTTTCAGACGACAGCGACAAGCTCCAGCTCGTGGCTTCCACCCCTACGATAGATCAATCTTAGGTGCACCACGCAGTCGAGAGGAAACGTACGCTTTAAGCATTAATAACGTTTTTTTGGGAGTCATTGGAGGTTTTCAACCACGCTGAACGCCTCTTTTTCAGTCAGCCAGGCGAGCCGGAAGTTGCGGCTCCGGTGGCCGAGGAGAATGATGAGGAGACGGGCGGTGGGCCGCTACGCGTAGCACCTCTGAACGAGCGCTGCGTCGCACGGATGCCCCAGAAGATGACGCATCTTAGGAGGTACGACGTCGGGAGGTCTTGGGCTTAGGCTTAGGCATAGGCTTAGGCTTAGGCCTAGGCTTGGCTTTAAAGGGGGCGTGACATGACGTCCTCCATTTCAGATACTGCACGATATTCTGGAACGCCAAGCTGTGCTGCGCCCACTGCGATTCCGTATGCGATCAGTAGAAAATCACGAAAAACGCCCAAATTTACCAAGAAAGGTACTCCGAAGAAATCTCAGCCGGAAGACGAGTAAAATTGACTACGGTATCCGTAGCCCCGCCCCCCGCTACCGTAACCCCCGAATTGTATATTTAAATTTGTAGTTTGTATTCTTTTTATTAGCTCAAATAATTGATTGATGCTAATTTATTTATCTTATTGAACTTTATTTATTTTTGTATGTTTTAAATGGATCCTACCTTATATTATGCAATAAATCGAGAATTTAAAAAAATCCACTTCATCAACTTAAGAAAGATTTCAATATTTTAAGTTTTTTTTGGTTTTTTTAGCTTATTATTTTTTTGTGTGTTTAAGGAATTTATTTCCAACAAATTTACATGCGTACAGTGCACGGGAATGCGGGGGAAAATCGAAAAAATTGGTGTTTGAGATCCCGATGGGGCAGAATTTCGTCTCTCTTTTGGTCCTCACGTTTTGGGGGCGACACGTATGCAAAAAGGTGAATTTTTGGAGTTGTTAAGATTTTGTATAGAAAAAAAATACGATACAAAATTTGCAAATTCATCCTGGGCGCGAGATGAGATCCGGGGAGGCAGAAAATGCAAAAAGATGCAAATTAGTTAGCGATCCGACATCATTTTTACGAATTCTTCGTAGTTGATCTCGCCGTCACCTGAAAAATCACATTAAACTCACATTAAAATATCTATCGCATTAAAATATCTACATACTAGCTAAGCTAGCTAAAATTACTTCGGCTAAAATTTTATTTTTGATTTTTAAGGCCGGAAATGCTAAAAATTTTATTCAATAAATAACCCCTTACCATCAGCATCGACCTCCTTGATCATCTCGTCGACTTCTTCTTCCGAAAATTGCATTCCCATGTGGACCTGGAAATTTTTGAATTTGATGGGCCTTTAAAACCCCAGAAGAAGGTAATGGTTCGTTAGCGAGGGGGGAAGGCCCCCAAAGCGAGAACCATCCAGAACGCCTAGAACTAATAATTACCATAAAATATCGGAATTCCTGGGCTGTGATAACTCCATTGCCGTCTTTATCGAATACTCGGAATGCCTCGCGGATCATCTCGGAATCGGTTTCCTAAATATATAAAGTATACGGGGACTTAGGCCTAGGCTTAGGTCTGGTGTCAAGCAGACTTTTAGCATTCGCGCCCACCTTCATCATCCGCTTCATCATCACACAAAATTCCGGAAATTCAATCTGCCCATTTCCGTCGATGTCCACCTCGTTGATCATCTCCAGGATTTCCTGAAAGTGATGAAAATCACTTGCCACATCCCATTAAAACCTTACCTGTTCGGTCGGGTTCTGGCCTAGTGATCGCATGGCAATTCCGAGTTCTTTGGTCGATATTGTGCCATTGCCGTCCTTGTCGAACATCATGAAGGCCTCCTTGAACTCGTCGATTTCCTCGGGCGTCAACTGGAAAATGGGCAGGCTAGCAGAGCAGAAATTGTTGAGGAAGAGGAGAGGGGAGGCTAGCAGAGATTATTGAGGAAGAGGAGAGGGCAGGCTAGCAGAGATTGTTGAGGAAGAGGAAAGGGCAGGCTAGCAGAGATTGTTGAGGAAGAAGAGAGGGCAGGCTAGCAGAGATTGTTGAGGAAGAGGAGAGGGCAGGCTAGCAGAGATTGTTGAGGAAGAGGAGAGGGCAGGCTAGCAGAGATTATTGAGGAGGAGGAGAGGGCAGGCTAGCAGAGATTGTTGAGGAAGAGGAGAGGGCAGGCTAGCAGAGATTGTTGAGGAAGAGGAGAGGGCAGGCTAGCAGAGATTGTTGAGGAAGAGGAGAGGGCAGGCTAGCAGAGATTATTGAGGAGGAGGAGAGGGCAGGTTGGCAAAGATCCTTTGGGGCCCAAAAACGTACCTGCTTGATGATATCCTCGCTGAACTGCATGATGTTCCCTCGTTTTTGGTTGAGGTTCATCCTCTCCAGCAACTAAAAAAATATTCTGTTTTTAAATATTTCGAAAAAGAAAGGAGCTGGGGGAGACAGGATTTGGGAGTAGGAAACACACGTAGTTTAGGCTCAAGGTTCTAAGCTATCATATTTTGTTGTCATTGGTAATTGATAGTTTGCTTAGATCTGGGTCTTTAAAGGGATCTGGAAGTGAAGATTTTGGTTTGGTCGATTTCTGTGTTGTCGATTTTTGTGGTTTGCCATAGAAAGCTTAGTTGCGAGAGAGAGACAGCGAGAGAGAGACCCAGAGAGACAGTGAGGGCGAAGAAAGAGAGACAGTTTGAGAAATATAGAGAGACGTAGCGAGGGAAAGGAGAAAGAGGAGAGAGAGAGAGAGAGAAGAGAAAGAGAGAGAGAGAGAAAGAGAGAGAGAGAGAGAAAGAGAAGAAGGTCATTGTAAATTTCATAAATAGCCTCGAAAGGAATAGAAAAGGTTGGCGATAACTAGTTGTCTTAAAGCGCCTGAGAAGTGAAATGAGAAGCTGTTTTCAACTTTGAAAAAACTAAGGTAAGTTGCTAATTGTTAATTTTTAATGAAGAGGAAAGCTTGGAATTCCTAAGTCACGTTCCAACGAACGATAAAGCCGCAAATTCCTGAGCACCAGGTCCAAAAGTTCGAAGTGTTCTGTGAGTGCCTGGGGGAGACGGGGAGCAACTCATGTTTCCCAACTTTCGGAGGGGCAACGGTACCCGATCCCCCCTCCTGGCCACACGGGGCACCAAACCGAAAAAGTAGGTAAAAAGCCCCTGCGAAATTTGAGCCGATTTTGGATTTGGCCGGCGGGGAAGGAGCAGGAGAAGCTGACGATCCTCGGTCCACAAAATTGTAGACCGGAAATGGATTTTGAAAAATTATGAGAGGGAGACCGAGAGAGGGAGAGAGGGGGAGAGAGAGCGTGAGAAGGAGAGAGAGAGAGAGAGAGAGAGAGAGAGAGAGAGCGAGAGAGAGAGAGAGAGAGAGAGAGAGAGAGAGAGAGAGCGAGAGAGAGAGGGACGGACTGAGGGAGAGCAAGTAGCTTGATGCAGTTCTTCGCAATTTGAAATTGGAAATTCTTTATTACCTAAACCTTTGGCAAATTTTAAAGGTGGAGTGACACCGGATATTCACCATTTAACGACACGATCAGCTAACGAAAGAGCCTCAATTTATGCAAATTAGCTAAAACCCGAAGTGCCTAACCCTAAAAACATTTGTTTAGGAGAAAAACTTTTGGTCTCCGAAGTTGCCAACCAAAAATTGAATCCTACGAGTTTGCAGAAAACTAGCGAGAGAGGGATGGGGGAAAAAGAGAGACAGAGGAAGGGGAGACAGAAAGAGAGAGAGAGAGAGAGAGAGAGAGCCAGCAAATCATTTTATCGAGATGTGCCCCCGCGGACGGACCTCCCAAATCCTAGCATCACCCCAGCTGTGATGTGCTCTCTGGCCGCCCACCGTAGCCCCGGGAAACGAAATATTTTCTTCGGATTTTGTGAAAAACAAACCTTTATGCGGCGTTTTTTGCAAAAAGATGCAAGGCGTAGCGACCGTTTTGTGAGAGAGAGAGAGAGAGAGAGAGAGAGAGAGAGAGAGAGAGAGAGAGAGAGAGAGAGAGGCTGCGTGTCCTCCAAACATCTATCGGCTAAAAGCTGTCGGCCGGCACATGTGATGCATAATACAATTTATGGCGGGGGAAACTAACAGGGGTGGAGCTCAAGAACCACAAGGATGTACACGATGGTCAGGAAGCACCTAAGCCTAAGCCAAAGCCTAAGCGAAGCCTAAATGAAGCCTATGCGAAGCCTGAGCCTAAGCCTAGGTTTTAGGGGGTTGTGAACTTCCGTTTGAATATTGGGGCGCTAGCAGAGCTGCTTGAGGAATTTCAGGCGCCGCAAATTTTGAAGAGCTAGTAGAGACTATTAATGTTTTAGAAATGCCCGCAAAGATTCTTTGGGTTTTTCAAGACATGGTGGCATTTCCAATTTACCTGTCTTCGCCGTCTGGCCACCGCCACGGATGCAAATGTGCGCGCCATTTCGTCGGTTTGGAATTAGCGTTTAGGCGAGGTTTCGATTAATTTAAATTATACAGAATATTTCCCAAGTTTAGCCTTGGAATTGGACAGCCGAGCGAGTGGCCGAGTTCGTCAAAACTCTTTCAATGGCCTTCCGATGGACCCAATAGGGGGTAATGACCCAATTTCCAAGCGGCTTTCACTTGGATGGCCTTTTATGCCCTCCCGGCCACTTTTCAACGCGCGCGAATAGCCGGAATAGAATTTGGGCAGCAGCGGCTAATGGAAATTTGGGATGTGGCTTAATGGGAATTTTTTGGGGGCCGGAAACCGGGAAAACTGTCAGCGCCGCGCGCGCTTTTTGACAGTTTTGCAAATACGGTGGGGGGAGGGATTCGGAGGGCTGGCGGCAGGCCAGGAAAGCTTGGGAAAATGTGATTTCACAGGGAAATCGGGCTGAAATCTGAACGAAATTTTGCTCGTTGCCAAAAATCGTGGAATGTCACGGTTTCTGCTGAAATCGTGAAAACCGGGGTGTTACTCCACCATTAAAATGTTGCCAAAGGGGTTAGGTCGTGCAGAATTTCAAGGAACGGCATAGAGCTTCTTGTTCTTTTTCACTCTCTCCCTCTCTCACTCGCTCACTCTCTCACTCTCTCACTCTCTATCACCTTCCCACTCTCACGCTCTCTCTCTCTTTCTCTCTCTCTCTCTCTCTCTCTCTCTCTCTCTCTCTCTCTTTCTCTCTCTCGCTCTCGTTCCTTAAAATAACCAAGACCAAGACCTGCTCTTTGGCCCCCAAAAGTTCCTCTTAAAAATTCCAAAAATTCAGTTTACCTGCCCATGAGCAATACGGCCAGGCTTTGGCCGTTTGGCCAGCCGCAAGAAGGGCATCTTTTAGGGGTAGACGGGGGTTACGGTAGACGGGGGAATTTTAGGAATGAAAGGGAATTCGGCGTTCCACCGTTCTCCTTCGATTTTGTTGACCAACAGAGCGCTTTTTAGTAGGCTGTTGCAGCGGAACT